ACTCGGGCTTATCTGATCTGTTTACATTCACAATCCAAAAGGCGCATACTTTGCCTAAATAATACACATGGGAATATTTTCCCTATCTATTTCCTGCGGTACTTACTCATATTTATACCAACAATTAATCGCAGATGTTGGTTTACTTGAAATGGGTCCATCGTTCACTCTTACCACAAGCATGTGATTCACCATCATATTTAATTCCCGTCAATTAGAGCGAATGCATGATTAAAATCACATATTTACAATGACTTTTTTGCTTCCAGTACTGGCTGGACCTGCAAAAGCCCATTTCCAGGCAACTGGGCCTGTCTTTGGTCGATCCATTGCTGTTCTTCTGCGTCAAGTTCTACACCCCTGATCCGGCCCAACTGGAAGAAGAGTATACGCGTTATTTGTTCTGTTTGCAAGTTAAAAGGGATTTGGCGCAAGGTGAGGACTTGGTCAATTTTTTGCCAGGAAAAAGGTGTCAAGCCTGAAAAAGATCAGAAATTAGTGATTTAAATCCGTGGATTTCCGTGTGGTTATTTGCTGTTAAAATGCAGATTCCAAGCAAACCGAACAGACGGTTGATTTTTCAGGAATAATGCAGTGCAATGAGAACACAGCAGCTCTAATGGCAAGCTACATAGTCCAAGCGGAGTGTGGCGACTATGTTCCAGAAGACTATCCAGATCACACCTATTTATCCAGTTACAAGTTCGTACCTCAGCAAGACCACGACATGGAAAAGAAAATCATGGAAAATCACAAAAAACATGCGTGAGTATTTGCGCTTTATATGCGCGAAATATAGTAAATGTTTCGAGCTAATAGGCTGGAAACCGGTCCTAAAGGTGCCTGAGATCAGCACGTCTCGAAATTGGTACGGACCTTTTGTCGGCTCTGATGATTACTAAAATCAAACACAAAATACTTCTAGTGTACTTTTAATTACTTTGAGTTCAATGAAGCAATTTTCATAACCGCGTATTAGAGATTCTCAGTATCATCGAGGATTTTCTTAAAATATTCTTCATTATATTTTGAATGTTAATTTTTAGGGGACAATCGCCCGCAGAAGCCGACCTGAACTTGTTAGAAACGGCGCGAAGGTGCGAGCTTTATGGGATGAAAATGCATCCAGCCAAAGACCATGAAAATGTGCCCCTCAACCTGGCAGTGGCCCATATGGGCATTCTTGTCTTCCAAAACTCCACGAAAATCAACACGTTTTCCTGGGCGAAGATTCGAAAGATTTCCTTCAAGAGGAAAAAGTTTCTCATCAAATTGCACCCTGAGGGATATGTAAGACTTTGTTTATATGCCTTATAGAGAGTAAAACCGTGATTGAATGATGTTTTTTTTTAATTTTAAAGCACACACCTAGATTTTTTCTTTTCGAGGCAAATTGGTGTTCAATAATTTCATTGGTTTAGGGCTACTACAAAGACACCGTTGAGTTTTTCTTCGAGGGTAGAAACGAGTGCAAGAATTTCTGGAAAAAGTGCGTGGAGAATCATGGATTCTTCAGGTGTTCGTCTGTGAAAAACGTGGCAAGGCATAAAACCCGCGTCCTGTCCAGAGGCAGTTCTTTTAGGTGAGTTCGAGGCCATTTTCTGGTGCGGTCTTAAATGATTTTCTCGTTGTTTCAGATATAGCGGGAAAACCCAAAAGCAAATCGTCGAGTTCGTAAGAGACAACTATGTAAAACGGCAGACCTTCCAAAGGTACGTTGCATGCTCAGAGCCTTGTGCAGGGTGTTTGCTAAGTTGCAATTCAATGGAAATGAAGATTGCCACTTAACTAAACACCCTCCCAGACAACTAGTGAGATAAACTGCTGAACCTGAGAAGAATATGTGGCTTTCTTATTTCACTGAATACACACATTTTACATGGCTGCTTATTGCTTAAATTCCCCTCAGAGTATTGTTTTTTTACCGTAGTGTTATATTTTTGTAACGTGTGGAGCATGTTTGTTTTTAGCCTTTTGAAAATACACATAAAATTGCTGTTTTCGACTAAACTAGGAAGAAATCCTTGTCAAGGGAAGGAGGAAGGGTGATTGTTTTCATCAATGTTCAGTCGTTTTTCACGATTGTGCAACCTAGAACGTTCTCATGCAACAACGACTGAACATTGTTTAGCAAAATCGCTGTGCTTAACACATTTTTGTTTTGTGATGGTGCAACTATTTAAGCCTGTTCTTGGAAGGCTTACATAGTAACGTTACACATCATGTTTTATTCAAAGGGTTAAAAATAATCAATGTCCACTAGTGTTTAATGTTTTTTTATTATATAAATGTGCCATTTGTTGCGTAGTTGACATCAAATTGATGATCTATAGGCTTATTTTAGTACCAACCGACAATGTTGGCTTTGATGCGAAAGTCACTTGGCATGAAAAGGCACATTTCTAACTGTTCAATGTTTCAAACAGCTTAAATTTTGAATTTCCTCGTTCCTTTGCTCAGGTCTCACTCGTTCCGACACTCGAGCGCACATTCGAGCGCTACCAACATGCATACGAGTGCGGTCGGGAACAGCATAAGCGCGCACCCTCTCCTTCCCTTGGCTAACAGCAGTTTAAGCGGTAGGTAACTCCCCAACTTTTATTTATTTAACACTCTGCCCTTGCAATAATTCACCAGGCTTGTACTAAACCTGTACCTAATAGATCTGCTGCAAACGACCCCGAAAACAAACCTGCTCAGTTGTTCCAGTAATTGCTTTTTTGCGTATAAAGTATGCGTATTTTAATTCCCTACAAAGATGAAACTTTTTATTTCGAGTTTTTGGAGCTGGGGTCCACAACGCATTGAAAATTGAGGCTACGAAACAAAACAACGTGCAGTTGGAACGTAGACGCGATTTATCTCTTGAAGGGCGCTTTGTTCTGGCATTTGCTCGTAAGGGTTGGGGCTTGATGTTGCATCTGTTAGGTGCAGGGGAGCGCAAAGCATTTGAGTCACCCTGAAAAGGATTTGCTGAAGATTGTGGAAGAGGATGGGGACAAGTCCTTGGACGAGAAGGGCGCTTTGTTCTGCCATCTGCTCATAAGGGTTGGGGCTTGTAGTTGCATCTGTTAGGTGCAGGGGAGCGCAAAACATTTGAGTCACCCTGAAAACGATTTGCAGTGGAAGCGTCCAAACTCTCAGCATCCCTGGGCTCGATGGGCGCAGTAGCGGGGACGGAGGCACGTGGGGGGCGCGAGCGCCCGGTTTCTCCGACGATGAGATCAGCCTCTCGCCCCCTCGGCACAGCTACGTCTTGGAGCTCGGTCCACGACACCATCAGTACGCCTGCCAAACCAGGTGTTATGGTGAGGATGCAACGTTTCGAGGGTTTTCCTTGCGTTATTAAGGTGCAAATGAACATTTTAGGTACCTCGGCCGCCGGCTGTTGTTCCGATGACGAGCTCGCCTTCTCCGACGGAGACGCGGTCGGGGTCGGACGCGAGTTCAGCGAGCCCATTGGCGACGCCGGACCGCAAGCCCATCCTCATATCCGCAGTCACAGCCAATCGGAAGCCTGCGTCTCCGCTCGCCGTGCGCGCGGCTGTCCACAGAGCCGACACAGGTAAAGTACACGGCCCTCACTTTGTTAGTCCCACATCCGCGTAGGTTTGGTGTCCATTTTTTTTGCCGTTTTGTTAGCAGTGGATGGATGCAATTCGCGCTGGATTTAACACGTTGATCGTTCTATTCCATACAACATTTTACATACTTTCCTGACTGTGTTTCAATTCCAAATCAAAATTAATTCCTGGGTCATTTATTGTCTCTACAGGGTGATTCAAAATTGGCGTCATTCCTCTGGAGGTGTTGTCTGGCACTGTTATAGGAGTACAGAAAGTACTGAGTGTATCGTACAAACGTGGTAGGAACGTAGCCCTTCCTCGGTATTTATTTGGTGCTTGG